ACAGGGGGTGTATAGCAGCAGTTTTAAAATAAGCAGGGACTTTACCAGACCCCAGTGAGGTGTTAACTATGGTGAGCACACAGGGACCAATAGAGTGGAAGACATTTTTGAAATACGATGTCGAGTGAACAGGAGGATGCTTTCGTTGCATTAACTATTTTTACCAGCTCTGATAGTGAGATGGGTAAAAAGCTTTCTAAAATGACAGGTCGAGATGGTGTAGGAACTGACAATGCAGATGCTGGTGGGGACAATTTTTTCCTTACATTACTTATTTTTTCTAGAAAGAAAGAAAGAAATGTTTCACAGTCTTCATTAGAAGGAGTAATAGCAGCAGGTGGAGCAGGAGTAACAATATCAGTGATAGTGTCAAATAACACCTTGTGTAATGTCACAGCTTCATGTTTGTAATATGTGTGTTTGTATGTTCATATTAACGCATGTTCTCAGGTTTCACGCTCACCTGCTTGGCCTCTCTGCAGGACTTCGATGTCCACTGAAGCTGACACTTCTTCTCCTGACTCTTCATCTCTGGCGATGACCTGCAGAGCGGGCATTAGAGCAGTGTTCACGGGTCAGCCTTAAGGTTAAAACCAAAAATCATCCAAAGTAATGATTAAAAACTGTTGTGTTTGTTTGATTTTTCTAGACCAACATTAAAGTGTTCAAAGAGCTGAAGGGGATTCACACTGTGAAGCTTTTAGTCCTGATCTTCATTCTCTTCTCCTGCTGATTCTGGTGTTTGGATCACTTCCACCTGAAAGATGTCTCACTGCAGCCCGAGGCCTTGTTATTTCACCGAGATTTTTTCTTACAAATCCAATCAAATTTATTTTTAGCTTTCTTTGAATACAGGGGGACTTTTCTTTCTTCAGCTTAGTTTGTTTCTGTAGAATCACACTAAAACTGAAAAACCGTACTGCAGTGAAAAAAAACTACTTTGCTGTCTTCCTATTGTCTCCTCATTGGTTGAGGCTCTGCTTTTTAACCATCTAAAGCCACACCTGTCACTGCCATCAGACAGGGGTTTTGCACCCTTTTTTTTTT